TACCGAACCGATGTTGCGGATCGATTTGTAAACCCCCACCGACGAGTACCCCACAAGCCCGCATGCGCCTACATTCAGTCAGCCAACCAGTCGTCATGTATGATAAAGGGCCACTTACCAGCAGCAGGCTTGAAGGCCGCATTCATAACGCCAGTCGCACATCCAGCAGCAAAACCCAGGACACCATTCTTCTCGGCGCCATCGATGGGTTTGATGATAAGATCCCTTATACCATCACTGAGTCCATAACCGAAGCTCTTGAAGCTGACCAGCAGCCCACTCCTCAACCCAGTCACATTCTCATACTGCCGCACCTCTTCACCATACGCTTTCGGAAGGTTATGGAAACCTCGAGTAATACCATGCATGACAATCGCCGGACTCTTCAGACTGGTGGTGATGATGCGTCCGAATCCTTTTGCGGTACCGAGGGCTACTTGGCGTGCCACATGTGGTGAGTCTTTGGTGTCGAGAGGAGGTGACGGTGTAGCAGTCCCGTCCCGCTTCTCTTTGCGTCTTATCTCGCGCTGTAGTAGCATTGGTGTTGTTTGTTTGCCCAGTTCGATGGGTCCTGCTATGAGACCCAGCATGATTCCGCTTACCACGTCGTAGGTAGTGAGAAATGCAGCAGATACCGGGTCGGTGGGGTCGTGCTTCATGTCTGAGTATTGAGATATGCTGTAGTGGGTGTCAGTGGTAGGCGACGCTTGCTGCATGGCAAGACTACCTACAGATGCAAGTCTTTGGGTTGAAGAAGACCCTCTTTAGTAAGCACCGCAGCCGCGAGCGGCGACAGGGCCAGGCTCTTCCGCTTCACTAGCCATACTGCCGGTCTATCGTGAAGGATGCTACATGCTCGTACGCTAGCAAGGCTAGCCGTTGCATCAGCTTCTGTGGAGTCATGTGTCAAGGCTGGAGGGTCCGATGAATGTCTATGCGATGGGTTTCCTTGTTCGCTATCATCTTGTTGTATGTCAAACTCGTGCTGTTCTTGAAGACTCCGCGGTTCTGAGCTTGGAAGTGGATCGTATGCCGGTGACTGGTCTTGATTGCGTTGCTTTTCGTTTTGCGTCGACTCTGCATCTACCGAGATTTCTCCTCCCGCAACTTGTTGAGTGTACTCCGGGAGGTCCATGGTGTAGAGGTCGGCATTCTCAGCGGTGGGCTCAACGTGCACCAGCGAGGAGGTGTCTGTGTCGGGATGGTTAGCAATCTCGTATGAGCATCCAGTGCTCGGAGTACTTACTAGCAACACTCCGATCGTCTTCGACCAAGGTCGTGGTCACGGCAGTCATCTTCTAGAGCGTAGGCCTGGAGTTGTCGAAATGCAGATTGCGCAGCACCAATTGCAAGCAGCATTACAGATGAGTCGGCTTTTCCATATCTAAGAGAAATTCCTCTATAAGGCCCTACTTCGAAGCCTCGCATGCGGAAGTCTTGTGTTTCCGAAACGGGGAACGCTAGGCCGAAAATCGTAAACCTTGAGAAGGGCGCAGCAGGCGGCCTGACAGGCAACCAAAATCGCCTCGGCAGCCCATCATCAAGGTCCCGAGAGTGCTGACGAGGTGGGTTTCCTGGGGTTGTACTCGTCGTCATGGTGCACTTTGCGGGGCTCGCAAGCTCTGCCAGATCGCCTTATGCCATGGGTATGTGTTTAGATGTCGGATGAATCAAATCGACGTGTGCAATGTGTTGAGGAGCGTCTGAGCGCCTGACCATATAAGTTTCAAGATATACTTTTATGCTTGACCAGAGCAAAAGATATGCTTGCGAGGGGCTTTGAGCAATACACGCGTTTTTTGAGGCTTCTGGGGTTTTCAAAGCGTGATCAACACTAATAGAATCAGCTGGTAAACGCGCTAATTGGTAATTACAATTCTAAAAGGTCGCGTTTATAAACAAATGGAGAAGGTTAGAGCGTGTTGCTCGTGCTGGCCACGTTGACGCGTCAAGATGATGACGTAATGAAGTTTGCGCGTCAGCAGCGTTCGGCATCGGTGGAAGTCACACCGTGCGCACCACTGCCGTCTTCCTCCTGCATGCGCACAATGCGATCTCCTGCCATCGTCCCATAATCACGAAAAGCACCAGCATCATTCGGGGCTTGATGAAGCGATGGACTCGGTCCCGTAAGCCGCGCTCCACCCTCATCATACCGCGACAGAACCCGCAAGCCATCGATCAACGCACCTCAGGCGCAGGGAAAAATGTTGGACGCGACGCTATCTTCCCTAGAACCTGCATTCGAAAACTATTTAATCGCCTTTCTGTCACTCTTGGGTTACTACCGAACCACTGGATGTTGTGCCGTTGGATACTGAGTCGCCGCAGATTGAGCTACTGAATACTGAGCCGCTGGATACTGAGTCGCTGCAGATTGAGCTACTGGATACTGTGCTGCTGGATACTGAGCTCCTGGATACTGAGCTGTTGAATAATGGGCCGTCGGATATTGATCCGTAGGATAATTTGCATAGGCAGGTGCAGGGTAATGACTGGAAGTATGCGCGGGCCATTGAAGAAGGATCCTCTGGGGACTCAGTTGCGTTTCGTCGCCGTCATCTAGTTGATCTCCGTTGTCAGGATATTGGTCATCGCCCGGAGGATAGCCATCGCGGTGACCGCTTCTTTCATGTCGGTTGCGATCGTTCCGATCGTCCCGCTGTCGGTCTCTGTCATTGTCTGACATGCGGTACCTGGGTTTTGTCTCAGTATCTCGTTCGGGCATCGATACTAATTACTCACGAGACTGGTATGTAATGACTGGTTGTGGCGTATCCAGTAAGGTGGGATGCGAAGTGTACAGCTTTCCTTGCGCTATTGATGAGCATCTCCGCTTCTCTCGTTGAAGGCACTCTCCAGATTGTTTTCAAAACAACGTCTTCGTTCATTCCCCAGATTATCCTGTAATCGCTATTATAGTGGTCCGATCGCGTCCATTCTGAGCAGCGGGTCCATGTCCTCATGTCCGCATCGACGTCCAGCGGTGGACCCGGATAACCCCACAGAGTTTCGAGAACCGTGCCGTCGGTGCCATACTCGTACTTATACCAACGGTTATAGTATGTGGAATATGTCCAACCTTCGCCGGAAGGATGTTTGGTCCCTCTATCTTCAGCCTTCCTGATTCTGGTCCGTACGAGCTGACCAGACGCGTCGCGCTTATAGAATCGCCTGTCTGAATCCGACCACTCCCAGGATATCCGGGGCATCTTGGATCCCATCGCAAAGTAGCGGAGCGTTACACGGGGTGCGCCCCGTTATATCACCTGGCGGGGGTCGCAGCTCACGTGGCGAAAGGCAATCGCGCTTGTAAACGATCCAAGGCTGAGAGATTGTGATTCGCGCTTTATCTGGTGTACGGCATCATACAAATGAGGTACGTCTATCCGTTGCGACCCGAGGAGTAGTTGGCTGGCTTACTTTACACAGCTACCCACCTATTCCACAAACCGGTCAACCTGGAATATGCTGCCGCACTTTCGAAGCGCATGTGTCATGCGGTCTTCTTAATGCCTGGCACGAGAGCGCTGTCCCGTTTTGCCGATACGAGAGGGCGTATCTCATTCGTAGAAAAACGCCTCTTCATGCACGTCTGAGCCAACCATGGCGATTAGCGTGGCCTGGCCAGGATGCACATCGAGTAGTGCTGTAAGCATTCAGCCTTACTGCTACCTAGGCATTCATCACCTTCTCGCGTGTTTCAGACATACACTACCAGTGCGTGTCAAGGTCAATCTTTCGCAAGGATAGGATAGTCTGCAACAAGCTCAACACGAAGCGACCTAAGAGACAACGCGACTCGAATGAAGCGAACATTCCATGGATTATCCATCATCCATGGTACATCTTCGTTCACTGGATCAGTTACTCTGATAAAGCGTGCCATTCCTCGTCGTCTCTTATCCTGAGATCTTACACCTCTGAGTCTCGGCGCATTGTCGAGTGGTTTTGACATCACAAGTCCGACGGTTGTATTGCGTATTCACTGATGTCACTTCTGAGCACGCCACAGACGGGACGGTGGAGGGATCATAGCGAGAACCATCGTAAGTATACGTTCGATTTGACGACCGCATATTCACAAGCTACTAGGCTTGCAAACGTTGCAACACGATTCTTGGCGAGAAGCACAGTGGTTCAAAGTCGGCATTGCTATCAGTCTCACTCTTGCCTCGCCCTACGTACTACGAATCGTCCTCAGTACAATCACATGTGTCAAGCATTACCTTGCCCCAGCGAAGACGCCAAACGACCGCGACGATGAATCCGCCCGCCACCTTGTTCCACCGAGGACTTTGAGCACTACAAAGGGTAAGACAGGAGGATTGAGGTATTGGGTGTTTAGTCTTGTCGCCCAAGACCCTTGCTGGGAAGCTCGACATCGATTCTTTGGCTCCTTTCTCCTTGCATCGTTTTTGCTGGTACTGTATCAATCCATTGTGGGGATAGTTCTGACCGACAACGTCGCAAGAAGCAGATCTGCCTTGCTGAAATCGGATACATGTGGCCTTTACGAATACGACAACGAGAAAGCCGGCGAAGAGGAAGCTTCAAAAGCAGATATGCTCATGGTGGGCAGAGAACGACGTGCAGCATTCTATGCGCAGGAGTGCTATAACCACGATTCCGATACGAACGTCAAAGCCACGAATTGCGACTTCTTCTATAACTCAACCATCGGGTATGGAGTGCAGGAAGATAAATGTCCCTTTGACAGGACCGACATATGCGTTGATGGCTATCAGTCCGGCTCAGCTATTACGTTTGATACCAACTGGGTCGATTCAGGAATACTAGGTATCAACGAGGCATTCATGCACAAATTCCGACGAAAAACAACATGTGCGCCACTAAGCGCAGAGCGACCTTTTGTCCAACACTTCACTAACAGCGGGACGGGCGAATCCGGATACAAGTACTTTTATGGATCGCTCTACGACACGAGGAACTGCTCGGACGAAGTGCATGCTCCTCCAACTGTGCTCTCGGAATACACTATGCGTATAACGGGCCACCCATTTGACTGGCAAGCACCCGTGTACAAGGTCAAGTGAGTTTCCAGAAGATTTCACAGACCACTGTCCGCTGTGACTAATGAGTTCTTAGTACTTACGCCACCTCACTGCTGGACCCGACATGCGATTTCTACCAGCCTTCACCAGATCTGCAAGCCCCAGGGCTATTGCCTCATCGAACCAAGACTTTGAGTCTCATCTTCGTTACAGCTCTGCGCATTCTATACACCAAGCGCAGTAACGACCCCGTCTTCCCCGCCGACAAAGCTTTCCAGTACCCTGGAGACAAAGGGTATTACTACTACAACTCACAGCCAAAAGCACGAGCATTTGCCTGCATAGACGAGACCATCTTCTGTGCACCATCGGGATCTCCATGCTGGCATGCCAACGACCCGATACCAGCTGGCAGTCTCAATACATCGTCCTACTGGTTCTTGAAGTACGCGTTGAAAAGCTCGAACACCTACGACGCCATAAAACTTCGTCTCGGTAGCGGTCTGCTAGCACAACAGCGCGTCGGCCAGTCTCGATCCATACCACTGGCTGACAATCACTGGCAATTGGAAGCCGAGCATCTATTCAAAACATCGCTCGCAAGAGCTCAATTCGACGCCTGGAGCATCGCAAGCGCGGAAGACCATGACAACCCAACGTATACCGATACACTCCCTGATGAGGCAAGGGGGAATATGTGCGGTCTCTTCAAATTCCAAGCATCTGGCTACGTCAATATCCGCATACTGCCATTTGTATGGCTAATGTTAGCATGGCCGCTCATGTTGCTCTTGAGCATCGAGATAAAGACATATGCGCAGGCATGGTATACGATCAAGTCTTGGATTATCAGTAAGAAGAAATCAGAGATCAACCCTATCACAGGTGCAACAGCAACGACAACCACGAACAGCAATGCTGATGAGAACACCACTCAGGATCCAAGCACTTCCACGCTACCGGCTACCGCGACCGCATCTTCGCGGGACGAGAACGCAGCTGCGATAAATGATGGCAGTTCGGCAACGATGACTCAGTCGCAAGAGCTAAGCGCCCCAGCTACTGTTGCCTCTCAGCGGCCATGTACGGCAAACAGCGAGTCGCCGCTCATCGCCACATCTTCAAGAGCTACATCGTCAAATGCAAACCAAAACTACGGAACAACTTCCAGCGCTCGAAGCAGTACACATTCTGCGCACAACTCAGGCCAGTCTGAGCGATCAGGATGGTCACCTTTGTTGATACACAGTCCAATCGTGCTAGGTGTATGGATGTATAGTAAATTGAGACATGGGAGGAATGGCGGAGATGGCAGTGAAGCAGTCTGATGTGCAGACAGTTGCTTTTCAGAGTCTAGAATAAGAGGTAGAGGAGACAACAAGGCAAGGGTAGTAGTCCAAATCAAATTGAACACGGCCTCGAACATGTCACCAAGCACGCACACACACCAAGTAGACATCAAGATCACAATCTCCTTTTAATAAACCATGTCTGGCTTTTATACTCCCATCTATCATTCAAGAAAAGGGATAGATACCTAACGCACCCCATCAGCGCGTAACATCTCCCTTCCCAAAAGTCTCATCATCCCATTCGCCATTTCCCACACAGTAGTTTCCCTAACTCCAGCTGGCCATGCCAGGAAAACGCCCAAACGATACACATCGAAGAAATGGGGGTACGATGATGTAAGACGAAAACCCAACCCATGATGATGAAAACCCATTAATCATTACTCAAGATATCCACCGGAAGCTACGTATCGAATCGGGACTAACCGGCTAGGCCAGGTAACCGAGCTCGTCTGCCTCCAGACGCTCCAGGTATTCCTTCTCCAGCAGGATGTCTATGCACTTCTTGATGTCGGGGACGCGGGGCATGAAGCGGGTCTTGATCTGCTGGATGGTCTCTGAGACGAGCTGCTGGTGCTTCATCTTCTTGCGGGACTTCATGATACGCACGATAGCGGACTGTTGATATGTTAGCATGCTGTAATGTGGGAACATAGAAGGGATGAATACATACCTGAATGAGTAGCTTGCGGTCCTCCTCGATCGTCTTGTGCGTATCCTCCGCCTCGGCCTTTTGCTCAGACTTGATACCGATGTTCAAGTTCATCTTCACCTTCTTGGTCTTGAAGGCGGTGTTGAGCTTGTAGGAAGTACCGGACTCAGGCTTTGCGCCCTCGGGTTGGGCGAGCAGAACCTTAGCCTTGATGAAGACACCCAAACTGGGGTCGAGAGTCTCCTTGTTCAGCTTGGTGGACTCAGCAATGTCGTCGTAGGTGACGGTGTCACTGTCGTTGAACAGCAACATGATGGCCATCTGGTAGGTCGAGACCTGGAAGGTTGGTGAAGTCTTCAGGTTCGCAACCTTGCAGTAGTTGGCCTTGACCTCACCCTTGCACAGCTGCCATAACCAGGTAAGCTTACGACCTTGGTGCTTGTGGTTGTAGAAGCGAGAGAAGCGGTCGTAGGTCTGCACGATAAGTTGCGGTGGGGTAAACGGTGTGGTGGGTGGGTTCAGAGGCCAGAAACCGGTACCGAGAATGTGGTATGAAGCATCGACGTTGGTCTTCATGTCTGACTCGTCCAAGTTGTTTGACTGCCATTCCTTGAACGCGGTGTTGAGATCCTTGGAAATCTGCATATCCTGGAACATGCGTTGTAGCTTGTTGGTGTATTCGAAACCACAGGCCTCCTTCAGCTTCGAGATCATGCTGGTCTCGGCGTCGTCTGATGCAGAAGTAGTCTGGACTAGACGCTTGGCCAACATACGCGAGTAGAACTTCTGGAACACGTCCTTGTCTTCGATGTACTTGAAGACGGTCATGATCTGTGTCAGAAGCTTCTCCATGTCGTCCTCTTCGCTCATCTTGGCGTTGGAGCGCTTCAGCAGAGTATCGGTGTACTTTGCGAGGAGCTCAGGCGACTTGTTGGAGCCAGATTTGCAGATCTTGTTTCTGTTGACGAACTCGCGGCAGGCATTATCTAACGAGCGAACGAACTCTGACTCTCCGTTGAACGCCTTGTTGACGAGCGCCTGGTACTGGGTGTGGACCTCAAGAAGGGCCTCGACGTACACCTTTGGCTCCAGGCTGTCTCCATCTTGCGCGATCTTGTCAACTGCAGCCAAACCCGCCTTGCGGACGTGGTTCTCGAACCGAAGACGCAGAGGATCGAGACCCTCAGGAATGCGGGCAAGCAGCTTGTACATGCGGCCTAGGTCCTCCTCCTTGTCGTGGTCGAGAAGGATCTGGAACTCCTCGCGAAGTGCTTGCGAGTGGCTTGTGATGAGCGACTGTTCGCATGTCCGCATCAGAGGTGACATAATCTCGTTGAGCAGGTAGAGTGGGACGCGCTCCTTCTCCTCTTCCAGACGAATCTCTGCCTTCTTCATGTATTCAACCACGCTGTTTTCTGCCAGAAACTGCTTGGACTCGTTGTCATAGTATTGCGCGGTGGCCTCTAGGAAGGGCTTCTCGAAGTATTCCTTGTAGACATCCAGGGTGGACTTGGAGCTGTCGGCCTCGTCCAGACCCAGCGATACGAAAGAGTCGACGACCGACTTGATCTGCGACTGCTCAATAGTCTCGCCATTTCGCTGCTTCTCCACTAGCTTCAGGACCGAGCGCATGACGCTCTCCTGGCTGCCCGTGAACATGTCCTCCTTCCAGCGCACCAGGTGCAGTGTGTAGATGTCGTAGATGTGCTTCTTTCCCTCGTCCATCTCACGCTTGACCCAATGACGGTTCAAGTACCGGAAGAGATGGTTGTTGTACTGGCCAGCTGTCGTGTAGCGGTTCCACTCCTTGATGTAGAAGTGAAGGAGCGCCTCGTCGACATGTTGCCGCGAAGCCGCCTGCACTTCGGAAAGATGCGCCTTCAGGTATTCGATCAGGTGCTGGTAGAGGTCCTCTCCGAGGAGATGGGCACCTCCACGGTTGTTGGCGGCGTGGAACGACGAGCCGGCGACGGCTTTTTGGGCGGTACAGAAGTTGTGGATGGCGGTGTAGAGACCCATGTACGTCTTCATGTCGACACCTTCGCGCAGGTTCGTCATGATCTTGTCGACACCGGCTTCGAGGTACTTCCATCTGTGAGCTGTTAGCATCTGGTCGAGCTCTACGTCATCTTCGGGTTGGGGTTGCTTTAGTTTAGCTTGTCCTGGCCTGCCTGTCTCCGCCTGCGCTCACCATAGCGGCGCAGCTTTCTCAGAAGCTGAACGCGGCGGACACCAGACCCGCCATTCGAGACGTCACTGCAACCCATCCAGAACTCCGCAGGTTGCAGCGCTAGACAGAAGAAGATGCTAGGAGTGATAGAGAATAACTTACGTGGCGTTGACATCGTCCTTGGCCGGGACGGGTGGCATACTGGAAGACATGGTGAGTTGTGTCGTCGCGTGCTCTTGGGCACTTTTCTGAGGCGACTTCTTGCGCGTGAGGAACTTTATTGTCGGAACCGCTGTGTCACAGACAAGCGGATTGTCAAGCAACACCGGACAGCGCGCTTGTTTGGTGTCCTTTCACAAGGGCGGATGGTGATAAAGGCGGGTTCGGTGGAGGGCGCGGTGAAGTGGTGGGGAGTAATGGTAGCGGGCGGGGAGGGCTTAAGAGGTACCGAGCGGTCGATTTCCGCGGATTTGGGTATGCGCCGTCAAGTTAGGCGACACACGGAGAAGAGGGAGGAGAGAAAAGTGAAGGTGCCGGACGAGCAAGGCGGCGACGTTTAGAGTCACGTCGTTGTCGGTTCATACAGTTCAGGCAGCACCGAGCTTGGGTCTTGGCGTTTTACAAGGGTCCCGTTCACGCAGCCTTGCACTAGCCTCCACAGTGCTCAACGCGAAGGCAGCAGAATCATTGACAGCGAAGCATGCCAGCATTACGGTTCTTTGGCTTACTATTCCTCATTCATATGAGATCAGCGAATCGTGCTGTCTGTTGTGGCAGTGACGGTTTCATAAGGATATGGCGATGCATCTTACACTGCTGCAGTACCGCTCAACCCCATTTTCTTTTGATTTGGGCTCAGTGGACATCTCGCAAGATTTCATTTCACATGGGGAGATACCTCAAAAGACTTTTTAGTTGGCTTCCCATGTGATTTTGTCTGCGCTCGTCCATTGTGGGGAGCCTTGAAACATAGGAATACTGGTGGCAAATAATGGTGATAATCACTCTAGGATCTTCAGCCACGGACTTGGGACTGCGACTATGAAGACACAAGTACATGCTCAGAATGGAACACCGAAACTAGAACGGTAGAGCAATAGACGTTCCTCACAATTCGTTCAGGGTTTTTGATCGATGACGTATTGGTAGGATCATCAGTTACCATCTTATATCAAAAGCTGGAGTCGCAGTCTTTCCCATTCTCAAAGAAACACATACTGATGCGTAGCTCAACATATCAGTCTAAATCACTCGAACATCTTCTCAGGCTTATTTCATCACCTCCCGACTCCATATCACCTGGGCAGCGTACTAATCCAACATACGCATCACGCAGCTCAAATATACTACCAAAATGCCATCTCTAAACCTAACACCTCTCATCTCCCTACGCCTATCAACCCACTACATCCCCACCCACTCCCTCATCCCCAACACAACCCCCCACAACCACCCCCTCTACATCTACCACTCCACCTTCCCGCCCTCTACTCCACCCTCAACCCTCGAATCCCACCTCCTTGCCAACAACCTCACCCCCCAATGGCGCTACACAATGTACACCACAACGCACTACCACAGCACAACCCACGAGATCCTCTGCATCTACTCCGGCCGCGCTCTCCTCCTCTTCGGCGGCGAATCCAACCCCGGCAAGGTGGAAACAGAGGTGAAAGCTGGAGACGCGGTGGTTGTGCCGGCGGGGGTGGGGCATAGGTTGGTGGAGGATAAGGAGGGTGGGTTTATGATGGTGGGAAGTTATCCCGAGGGGTGTGGGTGGGATATGTGTTATGGGAAGGAGGGGGAGGAGGGGATGGCGGAGAAGGTGAAGGACGTGGCGTGGTTGGAGAGGGATCCGTTGTATGGGGAAGGAGGGCCTGTTACGTGGGGGAGGGAGAGGCTGGAGAGGTTTTGTAGGGGGGAGAGGGGGGAGTTGTGAGACTAAGGGGATGGATGGACTGCGCTGTGAGGAGTTGGAAGGCGCTTGGACGATGACGAGTCGTTCAATGGATCCAGAGCGACGAATGATGATGTAGCCCGGA